GGTTTAACGTCCTGCCCGCTTGCGAGGGAATATGGGCATGGCTAACTCCTTCTCAGCTGATCAAGCAACTCAGTGCCACCCCGACTATCCCGGCACAGAGAACAGCCGAGGAAATTGCGAGAGCTAATGCGGACCCCCAGGGCGCTTTGCGCGCAAACAAGGAGGTGTTCTTCTTCCGTTTGGTAGGTTGTCGGAATCATTTCATGCATATCGGAAGATGGATGTACTCATCATGATGTATAGGAACGAGAGATTGAGAAAGTCAACACTTTCTACCTCCAGAAAGAATCAGAGGTATGGCCATTTATCATCCAGTGCACAGTCATAACCGTATCCGGAAACTTATCATATCGCTTTAGTTTTCTCTGCGCCTAAGGACGTTGGTCGACAAGAAACGGGTAACTCAGTCCCGAGCCACCTCAAATTCCAAAGCACCATCGAATTTTGCTGCTATGTTCGAAGGCTTCCAACAATTCGATGGCGACCTGAACAAATTGCAGCAATTCGTTGAGATCAATGAGACTGCCATGTCTAAAATCCTCAAGAAATGGGATAAAACATCCAAGTCTCGTATGAAAGAGCTGTATCTGCATCGGGCAGTCGAAGTGCAACCATGCTTCAACCGTGAAGTTCTTCGAGACCTTGCGGACAGAGCTACTACCGCGCGACTGGAATTAGAGGCCTGGGCCGAGGGTGAAAACATTCAATATGACGCCTCACGTCCATTAGACCGTACCGCAACCCTGGGGTCGGAAGAGGATGAAATGGACAGCCAGATCTTGCAGTCAGCCTCCACCGGTAATCTGCAAACCCTACGTGAATGGCTGGCCAGGTTGCAGCAGTTGCCGGATGCCCGTGAACGTGCCACCCGTACATTCTTGACCGCCATCAACGGGTTCTCGGATGAAGTGCTCGGTCTGCTACTGGAGAGCAAACTGGTTGACATACACGCCGAGGACGACATCAACGAACGAAACTGCCTCCACGAAGCCGCCATTTCGGGCCGATTATTTGTCTTCCACGCAGGTCTACAGGCAGGTGTTGATTTCGCCCGCGCCGATGTCTATGGTCGAATCCCCCTCCACTACGCGTGCATGCACGGCCGCGTGGATATGGTGCGGCATTTGCTCGCTGCCGGCCCCAACACCGTCGATATCATGGACCATGACAACTTTACCCCTCTAATTCACAGCATCGTAAAGGGCCAGCTGGCGTGCGCCGAGCAGGTTCTGTGTAGCAATGCCCGCGTCGACCCGGAGCCCGAGTCGCCCCCTATGAAGGGAATGGACAACCGTCCCTTGAAGGGCCCCGATCATATTCCTTTGAATCTCGCCTGTCAACACGGCTCTCTCCCCATCGCGAGGATGCTTCTTGAGCGAAATGCGAAGTTGCTGCCTGATGCAGAGGGTCTCTATCCCCAGCATATGGTTGCACGCGCCTCACAATCACCAGAGCTACTATTACTGCTCAAGGAGCACGGTGCTGATCTCGACCAGAAAGACAAGCTATACCAGTGGACTCCGCTGTTCCATGCCGCTAGCGAGGGCTGCGTTCCCTGCCTACGCACTCTTCTCGAGTGCGGGGTTGATGCCCAGGTCCCAGATGAAAAGGGCCTCTCGTCTATGTACTATGCTGCCTGGGAAGGGCACCTGGAGTGCATGCTCCTTCTCTGGGCACAACCCTCCGGCAAGAAGCCTGCACTGGGACCGCTTGACATTCTCAATGGCGTGCGGATGCAAGAACCCGGCCCGATGGGCGACATGTCTGTGGTTACGAGCGTCTCTGAATTGGAAATGGCTGATGGCATCCCCGACCTTGAATTGCCTCCTCCCATTATCCCTCTCCGCCGCTATGGTCACAACTTCCTCGACAAGAAAGTATTTATACAGCTTCTGTTCGATCAAGGAAATGTCGGGTCTATTGCCTTTGACCAGGCGGGCCGTCATCCTGCTGCTCGCATGACTATCTCTTCCAAGCTGTCAGATCTCATTCCTCGTACTGTCATGCTACCCATTCAGGAAGAGACGCGCACAATATCGTTCCACGTGGATAACTTGGACACCTTTGCTGTGGACTTTGAGATCTTCCCTACCTTTGGTTCAAAGGTGATTGCAAAGAGCGTGGCCCTGCCAGACATCTTCCGCGCCGAGTCGTCCAGCACTGGCTCAGGCTGCCTGCCTCTATTCGACCCCCGACTTCGTACAATCGGCCAGCTGCGCTTCAACTTCCAAGTGATCAAGCCATACCACGGTGATCCTCTGGAGATTACACACTTTGCTACATATTGGAAGGCCACTAGCGCCCTTGACTCAGACCACAATGGACTGGTGACTGGTTCCAGCTTGTCGGGAGATTATGTTCAGCTCTTTGTACAACTGACCCAGGACCGCGTCGCAGTCCTTTACCCGCAATTTATGATCAACCACCACGGAGTCAACATCCCAGTGTCTCATTTGACATATACCCAGTTCCAGGCCATTGGCGCAGATCGCGGTGCCAACCATACCGAGATCCTCAAGTTCTTGGAAACAGAAGCGACGAATGACATGTCGCAGACTCATCGACTCCTAGCGGCGTCGTTCTTGTCCTTACGTGATGTCTTGCAACAACTCCCTATTGACTTGAATGTCAATATCTCCCTCCTCTACCCGTCGCCTGCGGAGGAGAAGAAACTCCACATGACTTCTTTGGCGGATGTTAATAGCTTTGCCGATGTTATCCTGACCGACGTCTTCGATCATGCCCGTGTGGCCCGCGACAAGAACCCAGAGTTCATGCGTTCCGTGGTGTTCACCTCCTACAACCCGAACATTTGTAGTGCTCTCAACTGGAAGCAACCAAACTGTGAGTCTCAATTGAAACGCAGACTAACTCGTGCGTGATACTGACTCTACGACTAGATCCTGTTCTTCTTTGCAACGATCTTGGTCAAATTCGAGACCTGGCTGGGAACGTCGACTCGATGCCCCATGTCAATAGCAGTGGCCGGGCCTCAATGTCGATTAAGGAGTCTGCTCGCATTGCCCAGAGCAACAACTTTATGGGCCTGATCTGCAGATCTAGCCTTTTGGTATGTTTGGTCCAGCGCTGTCTCTCTTTCTCTTTCTAGTCTGCCCGCTAACCGCTCTGTAGAATGTCGTTCCCGCGCTCGTCGAAACCATCAAGGAGCTCGGCCTTGTGCTTGTGGCTGATACCTCTGATGAGGTCAGTCAGCCGGATCGACTCGAGGAGCTACCCAGCGATACCATGGGCGTTGCTGAATGGGCATACCGCATGCCTGACGGTGTCAACGGCGTTATGAGAGCCAACGGCATTCTGAGATTTAACGATATGATCGATATGTGATCCGATTCAATCTTGCTTTCCTTTGGAAGCACCCCCCCACCCTTTACATACGTCGCAATTTAATTTCCACAACGAAGATTACGAGCTTGAGTAGCCTTTGCCACGCCATATTTGCTTTATTTTCTTGTTCTCTATTTTGCCTTGGCTAGTTATTTCAAACAGGAGAGATAGTCCCTAGCGTCCGACGTTCACTTTATTTTGCTTTTCGTCCTTTGTTAATTTCCTATCTCATCTTGGGCGCTAGAGATAGAGCTGGGCTTGTCTTGGTTTGGCTGTCGTCGATTGCATGCAGATCGTCCGGAGAGTGCGTGAGAGGAGAATGTCAAAAGAAATAAAGATTTCCGTATTAGAGAGCTGAATGGCTAATAATGTACAATGGTCCAAATCCCAAGTCCTGTATCTCCCGCTATGCTATATAATCACATCACCTTCATGTACTCTTGGGCTTTCTCTTCCCAATATCCCAACCCCATCCGCGCAGCGTCTTCACAACCTTTGGCGTCACAGCCGCCGTCAACGGTACTCGAATAAACACAAAGCTCTTGTGGATGGCATAAGCGAAAACCAATTGTGTCCAGATACCTGCAAAAGGAAACCACCGATAAGCACCTCAACCTTCAGAAACCAACAAAACAGAAAAACTTACTAGCTTCCTCCTGATTCCGTTCCTCAGCCTGAGCAAGTTGCCCCTGCCCATCCTCCGCCTCAGAACTCTTAGTCTGCGGCCACACAGACTTGAGCTTATCCTTAACGAATCCAATAACGACATGCTCATAGTGTCCAATGCGCTCAACACCAAGCAACCGCACAGCCGCAAAACAAAATGGGAAATCCAGCGCCGATAGTCCAAGATACACCCCCAGCGCAGCCCATCCATACTCCCGCGAAAGCTTCTTCAGCCGCTGCGAGAGCGACGCCTTCTCCGAAGCTCCGGCTCCGGCTCCAGCCCCAGATCCCTTACCACCACCGCCAGCCGACCCGGAATTGAACCGGCGCTGCTTGGGCTGGAACGAGCTCGGTTCCGGACGGGTGCGCGTCGACAAGCGCGCTGTCGTAAGGCTTCGTCGCGTTTCTTGCCCTGCGGACGGGAATATTATGCTGCGACGTGCGAGGGATGGACGGGCCGAGGGGTGGAGGTATGAGGTTAAGCTTGGGGTTGATTTGAGGATCTCGCTCGGCCGCGAGATCCATTGTTTGAGGAGGGTTGGGCGGAGGGACATGGTGGGTTGCTTTGTCGTCCCCTGGTGTTCTGGATTGAGGGGGTGTGATTCAGTGAGCGAATTGGTGTTGAATCTGGACAGGACATGGAATGCTGTGCCTTTTTTTTTTGGTTTCTCTCGGCGTTTTCGGCTTCCGGTCCGATCGGGCTGCGGCTGTGTCTGCCGGAGTTAGGGATTAATACGGGTTGTGTTGGTATTGGTGTAGAAGGGGATATTGTATACGGTAGATGAGCGTTTGTATGATGTCTATCGCTTTTTGCTATTATTTGTACGAGATCCCCAGTTCCTAGCTATGTCCTTCGACAAAATGCGTGGCAGCTCTGACTTCGTATACTTCGGGGCGTGCATATGTGCTGACTAAGCCCAACACCAAAAACTTCCCGACTTCTCAGCCACGACGAGCACCCCAATCCCCCCCCCAATATCAAGCCCACCATGTCGCCGCGCTTAGGAGGGCTACTTCAGCTCTCACCCGTATGGGGTGCCCCATTGATCACGCCCCGGATCCCCGTGCGCTCCTTCGGAATCCGATCTCTCAACCCGCCCAAACCCAGTCGTTTCAATATCGGCCCCGGGCTGCCAGTCCTCGAGTCGACGTCGACGGCGGCGCTCCGCCGCAAAGCCAATTCCCTCCCGCTCCGCACTGGCGCTATCGGTATCAAGAAGGGCATGACTGCTATCTACGATCCGGAGTCTGGAAAGCGCATCCCCTGCACTGTCCTCCAGCTGGATCGTGTTGAGGTTATCTCCCACAAGACCCGTGAGAGACATGGTTACTATGCTGTGCAGGTTGGTGCTGGCTGGAAACACCCGAATAACGTGACCAAGTCGATGCTTGGACATTTCTCGGTTAATGGGGTCTCGCCTAAGCGCCATATCTTTGAATTCCGCGTTAAGGACGAGGCGGGCCTTATCCCTGTTGGTCAGAGCATTGAGGCGGGTTGGTTCCAGGAGGGCCAGTTTGTTGATGCTCGCTCCAATACTAAGGGTAAGGGTTTTGCTGGTGTCATGAAGAGACACGGCTTCGGCGGTCAGGATCGCAGTCACGGTGTTAGTTTGACGCATCGTTCGATGGGTTCTTCTGGTCCTGGTCAGGGTGGTGGTTCCCGTGTTTACCCGGAAAGAAGATGGCCGGAAACATGGGCAATAATCAGAACACTGTTCAGAACTTGAAGATTCTCAAGGTGGATTCTGAGAATGGTATTGTGGTTGTCAGCGGTATGTGATTCGATCTGGAGCTGCTCTGAGCCTTTCCCGAATTCTCTTTTGCTAATATATCTTCTTTGCTTCAGGTGCTGTCAGTGGTCCCAAGGGCTGTGTTGTGAGAATCCAGGATGCGATCAAGAAGCCATGGCCGGAAGTGCCACAGGCAGAGGCGACGGAACCTGCCACTGCTTAATTGGAGGTTTTTCTTTTCTTAGTTCTGACCATGTACTATTACACCATACGCGCGATATTGTTTGACTTGAGCGGCGTTTGTATATGATACAAAAAATGATATCCTTCTTCCTTTTTTCTCTTAGCCATTGAGAAAAAGAAAAACAATGGCTTCGCCGAACTGATAAAGCAACAAATGATCCCATAAAGAAGAATGTCCCTGAACGCCCGAGCCAATGCGCTGCTGTATCTGTACACTCTCTCCAATATTCAGTTCTTCCGGAAGGGATCGCTATCATTGTCGAGCAATTGAACCACCGTTCCATCCTCTGTCTCCAGACTCCATTCCTCAGTACGGAACTAAAAGAAGAGAAGAAACCAAGTCAGCAAGCGGCTCAGAACACGCCATAAAACCAAATAGACCAAAAACTCACATAGCTCATACGATCCGGCCGAATGCTTCGGAACTTCATCTTGCCCTGAGACTTCGTCCCCTTAACCCAGAACGAGATATCAATCCGCCCATGCAATTGGTTCATCTCGCCACTGATCCAAGGAATCTGCTGCGCGAAGTAGATCTCATCGCCCAGGATCTCGCGAGCCCGCGGCGACGTTCGCAGCGCATACAGCGTGCTGTTCACAATGCTCGACGACGACTTCTGGTAATTGAAAATTCCGAGCATGCCTGCTCCCGTCGCAATAATGAAGATCGGGAGTGTGTAAAGCCACTTTCGGCCTGGGTTTGGGTTCGGTAGCTCGCGGTCCGCTCGTCGTTCCAGTAGTGGTCCTGTGTTCGGACCTGGGGCAGCTATCATTGTGCGTCGGCTGGCTATGTTGGGTCGGGCGGGTTGCCGGGCGAGCGCGGCGCGCCGCGTGAACGCTCGAGAAAAGACCATTGCTGTGCTTTCGGGGGTTATAATTTGGGTGTTTGTCGGGTTGGTTGGGGTTTGGGGGGTTGCGGAAGAAAAGAGTGTCAAACAAGACAAACAGATTTGACCTTTCGACGTCACTGCACCTCCACCGGATGAGCATCCAACGCTTTTGCTTTGGTTTTGAGCTTTCGAGAAATGGCTGCGGTGAGATTGCGCAAGGCGTTTCGGTACCCTGAGGAATCGGAGGGCGAACGAGAAGAGTTGGACGAAGAGCAACAGGAACGGGTCATCGAGCAGTTGCAGAGCCAGAATGATGCTCGCAACGCCCAGTACAGTGTACATATCTTTTTCCTTCTTTTATGATCGAGTACGAATGCTAAATATCTTCCCAGATGATTTTTACTGTGCTTCCAGTGCTGGCTGCTACAGTATTTGTGCCTTCGGTGCTGTCAGCCTCCAGTCAGGCTGAACGATTGTTCTCGCTCCTCAGTCTTGCCTCGTTGCTGACAACAGCCTATATCATGAAATGTTTTCCTCTCCAGCCAGATCGTAAAGGCAAGAAGCCTATGACCTTCCACACTGAACGTATTGCTCGGCTTCATGCAGCTCTAGTACCTGGAACTAGCGCAGTTTGCTTGTTACTTGCTGTGGTCTACCTTTCTACAGGGTCGTCTTATGCGATCCATCCAGTTCTATACTTGATCCCTGGCGGTAAGTTTCCTTCTTTCTTGGTTGTAAGATATCGAGTCTGACCATGTACAGCCATGCTCGCAGTAATTCTACTTGCTCAAAAGCTCATGCTCTCTGTTGACCTCGCATCCCTCAAGGATCTACAGTACGAGTACAAAGGTGCCTAGCCGATAGTGATTCACGAATTCAACTTGATTTCAACTTGAATACATATGTTCATTATTAAAGTACAGCCAGATTTTTGTTAAACCATGGTGTCGCAGAAGAGATTAAACTCTTCGGGGAATCACAAATCATACATCCGATTTCCTTAATCAAACACCCTTTCCCAAATAGTCAATGCTCGCTGTGGTTCGTAGAATACGCATATCCCACGAGAAACTTTCAATTATGTTCCTCGTCTCTTTTAGCAACTTGTTGCGCAAGTGATCTCTGTCGTATGCTCAAATGAAGCAAAGTTAATGAGTCGTTTCAAGCGCCGAGGCTCGCGACAGAGCCCTACGCCATCAACGATGGATCAACGGGGATCCCCCCCGTCGTTATCGTCGAAGCCAAGTGGGTTCTCATCATTCCCGTTCCCATTCTGTGGCGGGTCGAAGGGGCTGGTCTCGAAGCTGAACCCCTGATCTTCAAGGGTCTTCTGCCGCTCCAATTCAGCTTCTTCGGCTTCCTTTTGGCGTTTCTGTATACGCCCATGGACATCATCGCCAAACTTCTTCAGCCACCACAGATTTGATTTCCGGAAATCAACCAGGGTCTCGATGCTGCGAGGATCGGCAACCTTACTGGTGTCATGGCCCAGAATGGTACAGTTAGGCTCATATGGTTTCATCGAAGGGTCACGCTGGCAGGCACCACAACTGCATTCTTTACGGCACTTTGGACAGAGCCAGTGATGTTTTTCCATCGCCTCCTGTGGGGAGATTTCAAAGGCGCGGAACAAACTGCCGTAACAGTAGCGCTGGTCACAGTTCGAGCACGGAGCGAGTTTCCAGTTGACTTCAAAATGAAGACAAACGTGACAGCGGTGGACATCATCTGATTTCGCCATAAGTGACTGCCGCATTTTGCGGCGCTTTTTTGACCGACTGTTGCCTTCAGACTCGCTACCAGCATCTTCGATGGTATTGTCTACCACGGGCTTGGGCTTTTTTGGGTCGTTCCAGGGGCGCCGCACCAGTTGTTCCTGGCAAATCTCGGCCACAGACTTTTTGCCTACCTGTCCCCTAGCGACAATGAACGTGGGAAACTGAACCTTCAAATCCTTGTTGTTCTCATCGGAGGAAATGATCAGCCGTCGCCATGTTTCATAGCGTTCTGTTAGCTGCTTCCATGGGAATTGTTCCATCCACTTCAGATTGGAAACGCAGGCACAGCTTCTACCCATGACATAGCAATCCATGCATACGTCATATGGGTCATCTTCGCCCCCAAGGGCATCTGCACAGCCAGGACAGGTAAGAAACCTGTTAAAGATGTTGCACCGGCAAAATGAGCAGGTGACGTTGCTTTGGAACTCATGATATTCGACGTTCTTCTCTGGGTTCTTCTGGGAGAAAGATTCAGACAGCAAAATGCTCTTGTACAGGTTAAAAAGACGTTTGAAATCGTCCCACAGTTGAACCACCACAGGATGGTCGACCTTTTTTGCTTGCCGCAACAATTTTGAATACCGTTCAAGAGTAAAGTAGACAATGGCTTTGTTCTTATATTGTTCATCACGGCAGACCATTCGCGCATGCGGCAAAGCTTCATGCAGAGCCAGCTCGAGCGTGTCCACAGTAGTGCGGTTCCAGGCGACTTTCGTCGTCCGAGTGCCGCGGTTCCAAACCTGGTGTGCAGCAAGAGGGGGTACAAGAATAAGGTCACCGGGCCTCTGTTCCACCACCCAGGTCTTGAATGGTGCAATCTCCCATGCATGCAAGGGAGCAAAGAAATCCTCAATGTCAATATCATGCCCAAGAACAGACATCCAGTATTCGGAAACAATCCGTCGATCTTTGGTCTCTGTCATGAGCCAAATTGAAGAACCAGGTTCCGTTGGCTTGCCGTTTTCTAGAGACCCATCGGACGCCTCGACCATTATGTTGTGACCGAGACTAGCACACATCTCTTGGTGTGCTGGTGTGTACGTACCCTCATGGCCGATGTAGCACATCAGGTTCTCCGCGCGCATGCTTGGGGGAAGACTACTCATCAAATCACCCGACGGCGCGATGAGGTCGCCTTGGGTGGACTTGGGTATTTCAGAGAGATTTGTCTTTCCCGACGCAGGGCCTTCGAAGGCTTTGGGTCCTTCGTTTAGATAGAAAAAGAACGGTGGTAACAGGTTCTCTAGATAAGCACGCCACTCGGGCGGACAGTCGATGTCCTTAAGATAGAGCCGTTGGAGGTCCTTGTGTGTGTAGTTGTGGACCGTCACTTGCCGAGTGAGAAGTGACAGGTTGTTGAGGTAGTGACCCATACTGAAATTGAAGGTCTTCTTTTTTACTAGATCTCGAACTTCCTCGACTATTAAGAGAGGTTGCAGTTAGTATTGACCAACGAAGGATGAGATAGAGATAATTCAAGAGCGCGAACTCGCCTTTCTTCGCGTATTTTGCTCGGAGCCATTTCTCCGAAAAAATGCCTTTGTCAAGACGTTGATGAAATCCTCTGATTACCAAGGGTCTTCCGCTCAGGACAACCTGGTACAGGACAAGCTTCTCGAAATCCTCAAGAGGGAAACCCTCAATTGCGTCACAGGTGATATCCATCGCAAACTCGAAATTTGGAGTAGACTCGACAACCCGATGGATGTCCAGAAGAGGTGAGAGTGGCTCAAAAGCCAGCCGGGTTCTATGTGCTGGCATGGCGACCGCAGGGCCTCAGAGGGGGAGCAACCTTGGAAGGTATTGATGCTTAGTTTATGTTTGTAATCGGCGCAAAGCTCACAGGAGCGAATTTCATGGTTTGAGGGGGAATGTTGGTGGTCAGGGCCAACGTCAAGGTTGTGCAGACTCAGGACTTAACTAGCTGGGTGAATTGTGCTGTTATTTGCTGTTTCTGTGGTCTGGGTGTGACAATGGTTGGGACGAGATATTTGGGTGGAGTGGGAAGGAGCAGAGGAGTGGGCAGGTGCACAATAGATAGAACAGAAGCGTAGAAGATGTCAATCCAAGGTTGGGATCAGGAGAGATAAGATCAGATAGAGTGATTTGAGTGATTTGAAAGAAAGGGATGTCGTAGATCTCCTTCACTTCGGATCGTCAACTTCTGGGGGAACGCGGGATGCCGCGTTTGATGGCCTCAGGCAGGAATTTACACGTGAACCTTGGAACTGACATTGATTTCACCATTTTGCCTACATTTATATACATTAGGGAACTTCGAATACAATGCATAGCTTTCTTTTTCTCCGTTAGATTGTAGATTTAAATAAAATTTAGTTCAATATATACTTGGTAGTCTCAGTATATCGTGACAGCTCAACTCCATAGATCTGATGCCCGAAATAGGCTTAGGGGGAGGAACCGAGCCGCTTTTTCCTGCATGACGATGTAATTTCCGACATCTACAGATCTTCAGATGGCCAGACCTTCAAGACTTCTGACAGGATCATGAATATTGCCAATTGTCAATCGCCTTAATTGACCCATGTTCGGTTTCTGGATCTCCTGCCCTCGTCATGCTTTCCACTAGCTCCCGTCTCTTCCGCGCTCGACTATCCCCATACAGGCAAAAGGTCAACCTCACTGGTCTGTACAATGGGCGCCTTTCCACATTCGCTCACAATGCCTATTCCTCGACGCAATTGAAAGGCACCCGATTTCTCGCCAGCGGCTCATCCATTGCCTTGCGAACAACACAAGTCCAAGTCCGACACAGCTCACAGTTGCAATCGCCCGCAACACAACCAATCGAGACGGATAGTGCGGAGAAGAACCCAGCCACACACTACATCCCGCCAAAGACCGGCTTGATTGCGTCTCTGCCGAGTTCATGGATACCGTATGCGGAATTGGTGCGGCTGGACAAGCCCACGGGCACATACTACCTATTCTTCCCAACTCTCTTCTCCACCCTCCTCGCTGCGCCAATGGCTGGTGCCGCACCGCTCCATGTCCTGGGAACATCAGCACTGTTCTTTTCCGGTGCGCTGATCATGCGCGGTGCAGGCTGCGCGATCAATGACTTGTGGGATCGAAACCTGGACCCTCACGTCGAACGCACCAAGTTCCGACCCATCGCCCGAGGTGCACTCTCGCCGAAAAATGCAATACTTTTTACAGGTTCACAGTTGGTGGCTGGGTTGGGCGTGCTTCTTTCGTTCCCTACCCAGTGCCTTTGGTATGGAATTCCTAGCTTGCCTATCGTGGTGGCATACCCCCTTGCTAAGCGCGTGACCAATTACCCGCAAGCTGTGCTTGGGCTTGCCTTTTCATGGGGAGCGATTATGGGATTCCCAGCGTTGGGGGTGGACCTGCTTGCCAATCATGATGCCTTGATGGCTGCAGGTGCCCTTTATTCCAGTTGTATTGCTTGGACAGTTCTGTACGATATGATTTATGCACATATGGACATTAAAGACGATGTCAAGGCCGGGATCAAGTCAATTGCCCTCCGCCATGAGCACAACACCAAGGCTGTCCTAAGTGGTTTGGCGGTGACTCAGGTCTCCCTACTCGCGGCTGCAGGAGTTGCTGCCGGTTGCGGACCTGTATTCTTCGTTGGCAGCTGCGGCAGTGCCGTTTTGTCGCTTGGTCTCATGATTTGGAAGGTTCAGTTAAAGAGTGTGCGGAACTGCTGGTGGTGGTTCAGGAACGGATGTCTGCTGACCGGTGGGGGGATCTCCTTGGGCTTGCTCGCCGAGTATGCGACGCAGTACCTTGGTCTGTACAATATGACGGAGCCGGAGCGTGTGGTGGCCGAGTCAACGCAATAACCATGTAACAATATAAATAGGCGTTTAAGCCTTGGTTCTTTTTTCCTCACGACTTCTGCGCCGATCCCGCCACGTAGTTTTGGACGACAGTGACGATATCTCTCCAGTCCATCATACTCCCAGCACTCCCAGCACCGACATCTCCATAAGCCAAGTTCTTCTCTATGGGAGGAAGCACAGTCACCCAGCCTTCTGGGTTTGATTCACTCCATCCCCACTGATCGCGTAGAACGTTAAGCTGTTTCTCGGTCACTGGATGCCTGTACGTACAGGGGTCCATATCCAACGCTGCAAAGATCATAGGTTTCTGGGTCTTGAAGCCCATATCCACTACTCCAGTCGTATCCCAGGCCCTGACGACCGAGAGAAGCAGGTTGTCGGCGATCCCGTTAGCCATTTTCGCCATGGTATTTGCAGACATTGGGGCAACCAGTAGAATATGCGCCCCTATTATGATGTCAGTTGGTTCACTGTATTATGTATCTAAATAGCCACTGACACTTGCGCAGTTCAATATGCAGGACTGGTCCTCCGCGAATCCACGATGGGGACCATTCATCTTCGTCCCGGTAGATAGCGTCCACACCATCTATTTGAAGCAGAGTGCCGAGAACCGGCTGCTCCAAGCTCTGTCCAGCGAGGAACTTTTCCGCAGGCTCGGTGACTAAGATGCGGACTGATATGTTTTTATTACGACATAGTGCCTCTGCAATGTTGCGCAGGTTAATGGTAGCGGCCGCAAGTAGCACATGAGTCTTCTTGTCATTTGTATACTGCTCCGCAATAAACGGCGTAGACGATACTTGAGAATCCATTGCCTATATCTTTATTGTAAGGGAAAAGCAGAGAAAAGACAGCGAACAAGGAAAGAAGACGACTGGTCCATACAGCCCTAGAGAGCTTTGGATATGTGGGGATCGACGAGACCCGCGGACCAACCGCTGATTAAATAATACTAAACCTTTCCCCGAGGCAACTTAACGTTGAACGTCTTCTCTTGTAAACTACCATCATTTTCAAAATCATGTTTTCCAGAGCAGTTGCATCGGTATGATATCTTTCTAGTTCTCCGCAAGATCCCAGCTCACATGAATTCCGTAGGCTTTCCGCCCAGTCTCGCGGCCAACCTTTTTGCGCCCCGTCCGCTCGGCCATCCAATTCCCCTCCGGACCTTCCATTCCCTCTGTCCTCCATGCACGCCTTCTGTCCAATGAGACCCGGACGGCGATCGACAAGGCGGTCTCTTCCGCTCCCGTCGTTCTGTTTATGAAAGGCACACCCGAGACTCCGCAGTGTGGTTTCTCTCGTGCCACCATTCAGATCCTGGGCTTGCAGGGTGTTGATCCTAAGAAGTTTGTTGCTTTCAACGTGTTGGAGGATGCAGAGCTGCGCTCAGGTATGTTGGGATTACCTTGAGTGGAATACCTACCGGGTTTGAATTGCTAATCATGCTGCGTTTACAGGTGTTAAGGAATACTCTGAGTGGCCCACTATTCCCCAACTATACCTCGAGAAGGAGTTCATCGGTGGTTGTGATATCTTGATGTCCATGCACCAAAATGGGGAGCTTGCGAAAACTTCTGGAGACCAAGGGTGTCCTGGTTGCGGCGGATGAATAAATAGCAGCCGAGCCTGAGTGGAAGATGTCAGCCTATCCATTCGATAGATGGCTATCTCTGTAAAATTATTTGTCTCTAATGTATTCTGGTCCTAATATCCTGCTGGTCAGATAGTTGTTTTGTTGATTCGACAAATGAAGGTGATCTCCAATCTATCTGCTCTAGTAGACTGAATTGTCACAAGCCGCCATGCAAACGAACGAGGTAGGCGTTTGTTCAAGAGGAAACCCCAGTTGATGAGGTCTAGCATCATATGTACAGTTGATCTTCATTACATGATTAGTATTTCTCACAAAAAGCGACAGCCAGCCTACTGAGCTGCTTGAGCTGCCTCTTGTGACTTCACCAGATCCTCAGCAATGGCCTTGTCCAGCTTTGCGCGTTGCCTGGCTTCATAAGCTTCACGGCTCTTCAGGATCCGACCAACAATTTCACCAGCGTTCACATGTTGGAAGGCATGCTGCTCGGCTTCCCGGAAGATTCCCATCTTCTTGGGAGCAGTGTATGGATCATATGTCAGCGGGATGAAGGTCGTGGGTCCATGGTAGACAGCATCGGGAGTGCCCCACGGGATTGCCTTCAGATATGGTTCGCTGGGGGTAAATGGTGCAGAGAATATGACAGCATTGATGTACTTTGGCGAAAGTTAGCAAATTGGACGTATGAACTGAACGCAAATCAAGGAAAACTTACGCGGCATTGAAGAACACAAAGACCACGTTCGAAAATGTTCATGATTGGGTAGTTCAAGCCTTTCCAATGGTTGATAACATCGTCATCATGGATACCTGCGACAATATAGGACGGTCCATAGTCCTCTCCGTGGTCCTTCAACCTTTTTGCAACTTGATCCGGCTCATACCAGCCACGTTGCCGGCCCTCGGACTCCTCGAGCTCCGTGACTTTGCGCAGGAACGCAATGTGACCGGAGGAAAAGAGGTCGAATCCTCCGTCAACATAAACAACCCTCTGCCCGGGTTTGGGTCCCTTTCCGTCGACCAACGTCTCGAACAGGCCAGCCTCCTCGACGACGTGGTCCATCTTCGCGGTGCCTGAACCAGTCCATGTCCACACCTGAGGCCCAGGTTGAAGACCACTCTCGTCCGTCGCATAATCCTTGATTCTCCGCAAAAGATCTTTAGCAGAAGCCTGGCGCTCTTCGGGGCTTCCATATCCTTCCAATCCAGCGAGTGTACCCTTCACAGATTTGACAAAGTGGTTCCTAGTGCACAACAGCATGCGGCCAACGAGATCGGTTGTCGAGATTCCGGGAGTACGTTTAACGACACGGAAGCGTCCAGCGGCTTTGACGAAGCGGTAACAGTCGTTTCCATCACTGTCAGAAGTAATATCGTCTCCGTGGACAACGTATTTGCACCCGTAGTGGGATACCCAGGGTAGGTAGGTCACATAGGGGGCATGGGGAACACTCTGAGTTGCCCATCGACATGCGTCAACGGCTGCGACACTAAATAACACCAACATTAGGACCAGAACTCAACAACAATATCAGTACGTGATCAAACTAACCGTTCTTCCAGTGACATCACTGTCGGACCCTTGTTCTCGAGAATAGCTTCATCAGAGTGTATTCCCACGTAAAGGGCCTTTCCTAGCTGGCGGGCTTGGAGCATAGCACCGGCATGACCTGTAGACCAATCCATCAATTAGCTCACAGCAATTGACTAGGTGTTAATTGCAAGCCTACCGTGGTGGCTGAAGTCAAAGCATCCATCGACCCAAAGTCGGTCCTCCGATATTGGTACATCCTCTTGAGGATCAACAGGCCATTGTCCAGGCAAAGGAACCTGCTCCTCGATGGGTGTTGAGTCCATTTTCACAATAGTACTCCGTAACAAACTTAGAATTGTTCCGAAGTTTTGTATAGACCTGGATTGTACAGGAGGGGGAGGGGATGTGATCGGCGGTAAATTACATAGGAGGTACGGTTACAGTAATCTTCCGCATCACAGTCCAGCTTGCGGGGAACTTAATGTTTCTCCGGATCTCCTGAATCTCAAGAATATTGATCACATAACTATTGGCGTCTTACCTACGGAGTACATACTCACCTGGGCACCTACCAGTCTATTCGGCTTCTTGCTCTCCCGTCTTTTCTGACACCTCCACCTTATCCTGCTATCGTCCCCTGTCCACTTATATCCCTGTCGCATCATTTTACCCACCAACGCCAATGATCCCCTCTACATTTGCCCCGGGCATCACGCGGCGGGACACAGCCAAGTCTTCTGGTGGACATGAAGGGGCATACTGGCATCCCACCTCCAGTCACCAGCGGAGGAGGGCTTCTCGGCCCGCAAAGTGCAGGCGCAATATATCAACACATCCATGAAATGGCTGCGAAACGGATATCGACCCTCGATTATTTGAGAAAGGCGTAAGTGAATCGCAGTCCAGCCAGACCTGAGCACTACTAATTCATACCGTGTTACGTATAGTCACGAAGGACGAGTTTATTGGTTTAATACTGTGCATTTCTCCCGGGCCGACATCGCTCGTCTGCCATACTTTGAAGCCCGGAAACTTTCTCGCCGCGCAATCAATTATTTGCTTCTAGGCTTGTCATTGCCCACAATACTCGATGTCAATTCCACGCCATTCGAGTATGTACGTGCCCTGAATGCTTTACTGATGGAATTTGAAGCGTTCCAGCAAGTGCATCCACCAGATGGCAGCTCCTCGTCAACCCTTGCAAGGGCCCGTATACCCCAAATGTTCAAGCGGGCGGCGCATGCAGGTACCAAGACTCGACGCACCAGCTCTGCAAACGAGATCGGACTCCCAATGCAGTCCAGTGACCCATCAGACTTAAAGAGCACGGCAGGGAATCTCGGGTCGGCTTCTTCTGCCTCAGTCACCTCCTTCCCACTCACGGAGTCTTCGGATCTTCATCCTGGCGAGGAATATACCTATCTTCTCACGCCATCACTGCCATTCGAGCCGGACTTCTTTGAGACATTCGCAACTCTGTGTGATGTCTTGATTGACACTTATAGCCGGCTCGCCGCTCTAGTATCATCTCCATCTGTCTGCACAGTGGCCCTGGGCGAGACGTTTTCCAAAGCGGATGCCAGATTACGAAAGATCATGGTGGCCGGCGCAGTGCGTGAGTTCGAAGACGCGAGCCGAAATAGTGTCAAGAATGAAGTTGCTGGGGTCAGTCGGGTGGTGCTTGGCGGTTTATTGGGATAGCAGCAAGGTTTCGCTGCTGTATAATTTGGGTCATTGTCTGTTTGACAGAACATATGGTTGGGCTTTTTATGAGATATGAATCTATCGAGGTGAATGTTGTACGATAATAGAATTTCAGATCTAGATTTGAAAGCTTCTAATGATACATCTGTGCCGCCATCTTGATTGGGGCTACACAGTACAAAAAGCAGGATATAAAAAGAGAATTCGCTCAAAATAACTTGGTTCAGAACTTTTTTTGGCCATGCGGCTTCGTGCGGCAAAGGGTGGTATCCATGAGCAGATTGAAAGAGCTGAGAATCGAAAGAAAAGACAGGTTAAGGCAAAGAACCCCACTTGGCGCCACATGCTCGAATATGCAAAACAGACGCCGGAATATGCAGTCGCTTGATGTTGAATGCTGAGAGGAGAGAAAACATGAGATATGATGGTTGGAACAGGCCGCGAGAAGTATGTCGAAGGTGTGGGATGCTCATGATTGGAGGCGTTGCTTTTCAAGCTCGCGTTGTTCGCCGAAGACACGGCGGCTCATTTCGAGGACGGTTTCGAATCCTTCGCGGCCAATCTTGGCATTTTCACGGAAACGATCCACGCTTGCTTCTTCAACTTTGTTCTTAATTTTTTGCCATCCACCACAGAGAGCGGTGATTTTTGCTTCTTGGCTAAATTCGGTCGTGGTGGCCGGGTTAAGGGAGGATTGCCGGTAGATAACAGTCTCGCGGACGCTGAGGACGTTCGACCATGTCAGGTTGGTGGAGCACATGGTCACCTTCTTTGCGACCGGATCGACATAAGAGATTTCGTAGACGTGAGAGGTATTCGTCCCACCGAGAAGCGAGAGAACCCATTGTGGTACAGACTGGTTGCACGTGATAAGACGCTCGGTTCGCAACTAGAGGCAAAAGTCAGTACAAAGATTTCAGGGGAATTGAGTGCGAGGTTGAATGACTCACGATGCCAGTGCTTGGGTCGACGGTTCGAGAAAGCGTGTCTACGCCCACAACGTGTGTAGACTTATCATTCCAAGGACAGTACTTGCGCCAGTTCGCAGTTGATACTTCGTCCCACGAGTAGTCGAACGTGCATCCGGAAGAAAAGACCTTCATAGTGGCGAGTCGCAGTTCACCTCAACGATATCGTTGGGTCGCGTGATCTTGGGATTGGGCGGTTGGATGAAGGACGGATAGCCTCGACAAGCGCTGTGGTGGAAAAGACGGGATAGAACGGTAGTATTGAAGAACCCGAGAGAGAAAAAGTAAGACTGATTCAAGCCGAGAGCGAGAGGTGGGACGTGAATGGGTTGCAGAAAGTGATATAATCTAAGTCTAGAAAGGAATCAGGAGGCAAATATGAGCAAGACAGATAGGAAAAAAATGGAGAAGAGTGGATTTTAACGATCTACCGTCTGAGGGGAAAATCCTTTCTTTTTTTCCTTCCGGGTCAGGGCCAGGGCGCGTTCGGAGCGCCACACGCCACAGATCGGGTTTTCCCGGTTCTCGCTTATCTAATCAATGGCGCAGCTCTGGAGCTACACCGGGCAGATATGCAGCTGATATGTTCCAGAACGTCCAATTGACTCTATTCAATACACATTCCTCCATCCGGGTCTTCTATATTTTCTCCTTCTTCTTCACGTCATGGTCGAACTCAGAAAACGCAAGGCGCCAGCCCCGCTACCCGTCGCAGAGAAGAAGACCAAACAAGCTCCCAAGCCCAAACAAGACGCAGATGCTACCGATAATGATACTGAGAAAAGGCCCGCGCAAAAGGTCCCTGAGGTGGA